TATCATCGACGGGGGTAGCACCAAGAACGTGGCATCGCCCAAATGATAGAAAAACTGGGACTCACGACTCAGAGGCATTCTCAGTCATATTCACTAATGTGGCTAAAAAGGAAAAACAGGCCCAGCATCAACTAGCAATGCCTAGTAGAGTTTTCAAAAGGGAGTCAGCTGCAGGATTAGGTATGGTATGAAGTAGTGCCCACACTACTAGGGAGAGTGTGGCAATTTGATCGAAATACTCAACACGAGACATGCCTCGTTCTACTATAATCGGTAAAACCTTGAGGAGAGAAAAACCCTCACCAGCAGAGTGGTGCAGGACTAGTCTCAGTGAAAATTGAATCTCCACCACCATGGCCACCACCGAGCCAGAGATTTCAGTCCCAGACAAAATGGAGGTACGCTCGCAAATGCTTTGGAAGACAATACAATCAACACTAGGATCCAAGTGTTGTCATGATTAAAGACAATGGACCAGAAATTTCATAGATGAGGTCGAACCTCCCCCAACCCTGAGAGACTGATGCAAGACTTGGGAGAGAACCGACTGATCCTCCAGGGAGGGGGTTGTCATCCCCTCTCTCTTCCTCTTTCCTTTTTCCCCTCCTTTCCTTTATAAAGTTTGAATTCAATTTTATCTGAGCGTTTTCCCTCTAGAGGGTTGTATCTGATGTCAATGTAGCGCTCTGGTTGTCCCTTGCCCGAAGTGGTGATCATCTCAACGGGTCTAGGTGGTGCTCCGACTGTAACTCGACCACACCGAGATATTTATCTCTCCGTCCATTCTCCCTCTATTTGTCAATCGCTTCTCCAACTACTATAGCGGACCCCCACCGCTTCTACAGTCTCCCCACAACCTCCGACAACCTTCCAACTTGCCACTGTTCGTCGGAATTCCTCCCAACAACTCTATACGTGTTGCAGCCTCCGTTGTCCCTCTCCCGCATCAACAGCAACCATCCAACCACCTCTACATGCTGCTCATCACCCTCCTCCAACAGGTCGCGCCTCCCGCCTGTAGCTTCCTACAGGTTGCAGCCCTCGTTGACCCTCTCCGCATCAATAGCCACCTTCCGACCATCCTTACCTGCTGCACATCTCCCTCCTCCAGCAGGCCACACCTCCTTCCTGCAGCTTCCCTAAAAGCCACAACCATTATTGCCCTTCCTAGCTCCTTCCAACCACGATTTGAAGCCCATACCATCGTTGAATTGTTGCCCTTACCTTCTACAGCAGCAAGACACCTCTCCGAGTTTCACCGCAGCCAACTACCTTGCACCACCGCCCGAGCTCCTTCCTTGTCAAGCTCATTGTGTCATTTTTTGTCGAGTCCTTATTTTCAATTCTTTGTTTTACTTTTTTTTTGCGTGTTGTCCTTCTTTCTTTGAGTTTTCATTACAATCTTTGTTTAAGTAATTAATAAAATTGTGTCTTGCGTCAAGATTTGGGTAAACTTTGGTATCACAATGTACTCAAGTTTTTCATCGAGAGTAATAAAAACTACTAATACAACAACAACAACAATAACAACAAAGCCTTCATCTCACTACGTGGGGTCATCTACATGAATAATTTTTCTCCATTGTGTCCTATTTAGTGCCATATTTTCATTTAGTTTTAATAAATTAAGATTATTTTTTATACAATAAGCACAAGTCTTCCTAGGTCTACCTTTGCCTTTTTTAACATAAGTCGAATCTAAACATCAACTCTGATAATCGGATCATCAGATGGTCGACGTTTAATGTGACCAAACCATCTAAGACGAATCCCTCTAATTTTGTCTATCACTAGAGCTACAGCAACCCTATCACTGATATATTCATTTTGTATATTGTCTCTGTAAAGCCACACATCCACCTAATTATTCTCATCTCGGCAACACTTAACTTAGTATTATGCTTCTCTTTTAAAGGCCAACATTCAACACCATAGAGAATTGCAGGTCTCACCACCAAATTATAAAATTTTCTTTCCAGTCTAAGAGGAACATTTGTATCACGCAAAATGCCCGAAGCATTCCTCTACTTCAACCAACCAATTGAATTCTACCATTAACATCCCCATATATATCACCATCGCTTTGAATAAGAGACCCAAGATATCTAAATCGATCAAACCTTTTAATAACTTGATCACCCATAGTTACACTTCTGTCACTAGAGCTATTATTAAAATTACATTCCATGTATTCAGTTTTAGTTCTACTCAAATGAAAACCTTTAGAATCCAATGTACACCTCCATAATTCAAATATTTCCTGAGCTCTTTCTCTAGTCTTATCTACGAGAAGAATATCATCAGCAAAAAGCATACACCAAGGTACATCCTCCTATAAATGTCCAGTAAGACCATCCATATCTAAAGCAAATCTAAAGCAAAAACATCCATATCTAAAGCAAAAAAAATATGCGTCCCTGATGTAATCCAACAGAAATACGAAAATATTCGGTCAAGCCTCCTTCAATTCGAACACAAGTAACATCTTTAGTATACATATCTTTAATGACTTGAATATAAGTCATATCAACACCTTTCTTCTCAAAAACTCTCCAAATGATCTCTTGGAACTTTATTGTAAGCTTTTTCTAAATCAATAGAAATCAAATGTAGATCCTCCTTATTATCCTCCTTATTATCTCTGCTTATTCTCTTTAAACTTCCCCATCAACCCTCACAATATATGCACGGCTTCCATAGTAAACCTGCCCGACATATATCCAAAATGATTATGAGAAATCTTTGTAATACGTTTTAACCTATGTTCAATTACCCTCTCCCATAGTTTTAAGACACATTAACTTAATTCTTCTATAATTTGAACACTCTTATGCATCCCCTTTTTTCTTAAAAATGGGGACCACAATACTCTTCCTCCATTTATACATCTTTTTAGTTTTTAAAAAAATAATAAAAATTTTAGTAAGCCAAGAAACTCCCGAAATCTCCTAAATATTTCCACACATCAACTGGGTATCATCAAATCCTACAAACTTTCCACCCTTGATTTTCTTTAAAGCCTCCTCAACTTTTTTTATTAATGCGATTGGTAAAAATGAAACGTAACGTTTTATTATTATTAACGATATTAAAATCACTAAGGTCGATCGTATTTTCAGAAACTTTATTAAAAAGTCTATTAAAATAACTCACACACCTATGTTGAATATATTTTCTAAGAAAAACTCTTTTTGATTTTCATCTTTAATACACTTTACTTAAATTAAATCTTTACTTTTCTTTTCTCTTTGTTTGGCCAGTTTATACATATATTTTTCATTCTCTTTAGTATTTAATATATTATAAATATCACAGAAAGAAAAATTTTTAGCACCACAGATTGTTCTTATAGGCTCCCTGCGGGCCGTTTGATATTTTTCCCAGTTCTCTACGCTTCTACATTTAAACCAATTTTTATAACATAAATTGTATTTTATCTTTCATGCACTTATTATTCCACCACCAACTATTTTTATTTATTGAAACATTTTCTTTTGAATATCCAAGTATATTTTTTGCTACTTGTTTAAAAGTGTTTGTTACTTTATCCCACATAGAATTTGCTTCTTTACGAAGATCCAAAATTTTAAAATCATGAATTTTACTCAAAAAAATAATTTGTTTTTTAGTTTCCCTCATCTAATTCTACGAGTGAGCAGTCCTATTATTCTTTATTTTACAACTCTTTATCTTAAAATTTAGAATTAATAATTGATGTTAAGTACTTAAATCCTCACTTAGAATGATCTTAAAATCTTTACAATCTCGACGGTCTCTTCTTCTCATAAGAAAATAGTCAATTTGTATTTTATAAGATCCGTTTTTATAAGTAATAAGATGCTTATCTCTTTTCTTGAATAAAATATTAGTGATAATAAAATCATACGCTAAAGCAAGCTAAAGCAAAATCTAAAATCTAAAATGACTCTACCTTCTTTGTTAGTCACTCCAAAATCATAGCCACCATGAATATTTCTGAAATCTTATACCACTCTACCGGCATGTCTATTTAAATCTTCCTCCAATAAAAATTCTTTCTTCGAGATGTATCATTTGTATTAAGTCTTCGAAGTCATTCCAGAATTTATCTTTAGACCCTATATCTAAACCTACTTGAAGAGCATAAACACTTATAATATTAAAAATCTTAATATCAATAATAATCTTAACGACTATAATTCTATCTTCAACTCTATTAATTTTTACAACATTATCTTTCAAACACTTATCTATAATTCCACCTACAGCATTTCTAGTGTGACTCTTACCATAATATCAAAGTTTAAAACTTAAATTATCATTCTCCTTAGCCTTTTCTCCAATCCATTTAGTTTTTTTAATACATAAGATATTAATTTTTCTATGAATCATAATATCAACTAATTTCATAAATTTACCATTGAGAGTACCTATATTCCAAGAGCCTATCATAATATTAGTTTCATTAATTTCATGGACTAACTTCTTTACTCGCATCCTTCCGTAATGTGCGAACTCTTGCTTATTTGGCACTAAACATGGACGCTGACGCCGGTGTAGTGTCAAATAATTCTCTACATCTAATACAAATTACTAATGATAAAGATTTTGTAATATGTGAATTTTGCATATGTGTTGCATAATTCTCTACATCTAGTATCAGTATTTTCATCAGAAACCCCAAGTCTTTTGACATTATACATCGCTAAACTTTGATATTCCCTACATTACTAGGTGCTGGTGGTGCAATGAAACCAAGAAAAGTCACACAAATCTAGACATATAACATCAATTATGTGATAATCACAAACAGAAGAATATTGGATAATCTTGTCCTCATTAAAATGAGTGACTATTGTATGAATGCTCACAGATAAACATAGAGTAGCAATAACTGTGAATAGGCGCACAGGCTTTTCTGTTCTTTACAAGGGTCAATAAGCATAAATAAAGAAACCCCATTCAAAAAATAAAAAAATAAATAGCAAAGACAGTTCAAAATACAACAAAATGAACAATACCAGAGATTCTTTTGAATAATACGGAATCCGAGGTAAATCAAGTACAGTTGTTGCCAACCAATCAACAATTGCGTCAACTGAAAAATCTCCACTGTACCTATACGAAAATAGAAGCTTTGATTTCATTCAGTAAGAAAGCATGAATTACAAAGATGGTATGCAATCTTGGAAGGATAAACATTGAAAAACTGGCTCTTCCAAAACCATGAATACCATCTTGGTTTACCTTTGAGGCTGTTAAGAAGATTTGCTCTCTGGCCAATCCTCAAGCTTTGGTCAAAGTAATAAGATTCAATCTCAAGTTGAGTCAAATATGGTTACAGGTTAGCAAACAAATTCAGAGCATGATCTAAGCCAAGTACGCCTCTTTAATTTTATTTGGTTAGAGCAAAGAGCCAATCTGATCTAGGTTTCTTTTTAATCTCCTACATCAAGTCTAACATGCATAAAGTAGATGTCTACATTTATGAATGCGAGTGCGCGCACATACACATATTAATGCATATATATATATATATATATATATATATGCATTTACACATTTCTATTTAAAAATCTACTTCTCTCTTTATTTATACATATGCATACACACAAGTATTTATGTATAAATTTAGATTTGAATGTATATTTGCATATATAAAAACATCCTTTCAGAATGATCTCAAGCTAGCTCGATCCAACCAGGCATAGAGTTTCTCAATTGTTGGCTTATTAAATTTAGTCTGAGCTCTATCCAAGCAAAATACTAATATGATTTTTCAGTAAAATTTACAGCCCTAATTATGTTGGTTTTTATCACAATACCGAAGTAAGAGAATACTCCCAACTAACCTTGTATAACAATCTGAATTGGCACAGTAAGGAGGAAATGCGATAAGAGCAGGTAAACCTGTAAAAGATTTTATAGGGTCAGTAATATAGAACTTGTAAAGGAACCGCAAATGTACTTAATGGCTTGGCAGTTCGAAAGCTGTAGCTTGCAACGGACTAGGAAGCATGAACTGCCTTTTTTCTCTTTATACATTTTCATCCATCTCTAATTAGAACTTGTAGGAACTTAATTATTTGCCAGCGTCATACATGTCAGATTGAATGAATAGTTTTTAGAATAGATGGAGTCCCTGTTAAACTGGAGTATTAAGGTAATTTCGCAGTTGCCGAGCACCTAATCCACGTGGTGTTAGTGTTGGCTTCCTATACATAAATAGTACAAGTGTGATAAAAGATAAACAAGTACTTGTAAAATCCAGGTTCAATGATTGGTGCGGTCAACAAGGGCGTAGGCTGAATTTTGCCATCCAAAAAAAATAAGATGTCATGGTGACTGTAAAAGAAAGAATTTACAGGAGAAAAGAGGCTTTCATCAGAAAAGGTACAATATCAAATTAGTAAGAATCTCCTGAGAGAGCTAAAAATCTTCCTCTAGTTTACTAGACAGTTGAGCGGTACAAAAGATGCATACTACTGTTGTTTGGTCAGTTGCTGAACAGAACAAAAGATGCATAGTATCTTCAAACAGAAGGATCTACTTGAGCTTCGAATTATTCTAGGATGCATCTAAGAGAAGGATAACCACTGGAATCTAAACAAGTACAAACTGCTACTTTCTACTAAAAAATAATCAATAGTGCATCAAGCGTCTGACTAAGCTCCATCGCCATTTCCATGCACTCGTGATTGTACATGTTCTAAAATTCTAAAAGCTGTCAAGGATGACTTATGCAATTATGCAGAAAACGGATGAGTTTACAAATATTCCAATTGCATGCTTTTGATAAATTCGAAAATTAAAATAATAACAGTTATCCCTGACCATTATTAATATGCAGATTTCTCCGTCATTAATATGTAGATTTTCTTTTATTTGCTTCATATTTCTCTTTATTTTGTTTTTATTTCTTTCATATTCCCCTTTATTCTTTTTTATTTCTTTCCAAATGATTACCTAATATAATTGGGTTTATATACCTCTCTTTCTATCAATAAGATATGTTGCACTACTCCAATATTTCAAAATGATATCAGAGCCGGGATCTAACCCCAAATCCCAGCCACCGCCGACATTTCCTGTAGGAATTGCTAATCATCGGCCCTTCCTGTTGTCCCTTACAACCACCGGCCTCCTCTTTGCAGGTGCAAAGGTACCCGCCAGCCATCCTCGCTCTTTTCTACGGAGGTTGGTCTCTCTTCAATTGTCTGGATTACCTACTTTTTTTGTATTCGACAACCAATGATTTACAACTGAAATTAGACGAAGTCTCGGAATCCCAAATAAATTTCTTTTGGATTAGTCAGAATCATGGTGGATTCCTCCAGCACTGAGCCATCCTCGGAAAGCATTCTTGATTCCAATCTTCATTCAGACCGAAGTATCATAAGCCAACATGAACTTCTTGATCACAACTCACAAACTGAAAGACATTAACTTTCTCCAACGGCCCCAAGCGGTGTCCTTATTCATCAATGAAATCAGGAAATTCGGTCACCTCACAAGTATAATCCATGAACCTCTAAAGATTGACCCGACATATGGAGCTTGGGATATGGAAAACTCCATGGTCACGTCGTGGCTAATCAACTTCATGAAACCACTGATTGGACGTTCATATATGTTTCTCCCCTTTGTTAATGTCCTCTAAACGGCAGTCCATGATACCTACTCAGATGAAGGAAACTCCGACCAACTCTATAAGGTGTCTAAGAAGATCTGAGAGAAAACAAATATCAAGGATTGCGATACAGTACTATGGATGGAATGCAACATGTACTACGACTACACTTGAAACTCCCTGCCCGACGTTTTTCTCTTCAAAAAAATTGTAAAAAAAGATAGCATGTTCCAATTTTTAGCATACCTCAACAAAGATTTTGACAAAATATGGGGTCGTACTCATAGTCGGGATCCTCTTCCGGAAAAATTTTTTGTCCAAACTCCACATGTACTTCTATGTGTAGACCAATAGTATGCTGCCACGTGTGCTACATCGCGAAGGTTATTTCGAGGTTATTAATGCAAAATCGCGGAGGTTATTTCAGGGTTATTTTGAGATTATTAAAAAAAACTTATATATTTCACTTCAACAACCCAGAAATAACACCGCAGAGGTTATTTCAGAGTTATTTTGAGGTTATTAAATTGAAATATATGAGTTTCTCTACAATAACCTCGAAATAACCAAAAAATAACTCTAAAATAACCTCATGTGTTATTTCTAGGTTATTGAAGTGGAAGCGCCAAGATTATTTCAGAGTTATTTCTGTGTTATTTTGGGGTTATTGTAGAGTCTGTGGTTCCATTTTAATATTTTTTTTAGTTGGGCCCAATATAACACAAATGGTGGTATATTAATCGAATTCTGCACGTAGAGTTACGTCTGGAGTCCGGACAAAAAAATTTTTGCTTCCTTCCGCTATTGCTACTTTCACCGAGATCCACCGCGAAGATGGCCAGAGGCTTGTCATGCTCGGTACCTCCACCCCTTTAACGGAATCGTCTACCTTGGTTTCTAATAGTGCACAGTCTTCTCGGTCAAGTCGCCCCACTTGTGATTACTGTCACAAACCAAACCAAACTTGTGACAAGTGTTGGAAGTTCAACTGAAAACCGACATACAAATCCTCGATGAAATCCTCTGCTTCCAAGGGCCTTACTACGACATCAGAGTCTATCACGGTTCAACTACCTCCTACTCAATATATTTTTGAATCCCCTGACTCTCTGAAAAGTCAGAAGGAACATTTAATCAAGCTACTTGGATCCAATCAGTGCTTTGCTAGCTCGTCGACCTCACACGTCTGCCAAGATACTATCTGTATGGCACTCAAATCTTTTCCCTCCTTTAATCCGTGGATCATTTATTCAAGTGCAACAAATCATATAACTGGATGCTCGCAAGCTTTCTCGACATACTATTCGCGTTCTGGAAAAGATACAGTCACAATTGCAAATGGCTTCTATAATTTCATTGCTGGAAAAGGGTTTGTCATTCTAACGACCGATCTAACTCTGAAATTTGTGTTACATGTACCACTGTTGCATTATAACATTTTATCTCTTAGTAAGTTGACACATGAAATTGATTGTGTGGCTTATTTCTCTCATGATGTTTGTGCCTTTCAGGATCGTCGTTCGGTAAGGATAATTGGAACTCCTACAGAGTTAGTTGGACTCTACTACTTCCAACAAAAAAGCATGGAGAATGAGGACATATCACTCAGTAGTTGCATCGTATCTCGAGTCAATAAATATCCCACTATATTATTGCATTGTCATCAGGCTCATCTTAGTTTCCGATACTGAAAACATTTGTATCCATTGTCGTCTTCTAATCAAAGTCTTCGTAGTTTCAAGTGTGAGACATGCCAGTTAGCTAAACAACATCGGGTACCCAACCCTAAATCTAAACCCTAAAATCAAAAACTTAATCTTTCTTTAAATAATCATATATATATATATACACAAACGCAAATAATATATATTGTTTAATAAGTAACTAAATAAATTTACCTTTATTTTCGGTCAATAACCCCACTCCCACATACAATCTTCCTCCTTTTCTTCTACGAGCATGAGGATCGTCCCTACAACTCAGCTCAGTTTGAATGCCTTGGCTCTTCCTCCCGCACAAACTTCTCTTCTTCTCTTATTGTCACCTGCTCCGTTGTCAACTTAGGGCGCCAAACACACGCGGCTCTCTTCGACGTCAATGTCGGTACTTGAAGCAGCAAAGTTGTGATCTTCTTCTGCCCTTGAGCACAGTGCATCAGGTCGTTGTCTTGCTGCTTCGGGTAAGAAGACATAAAACCTTCTCCTTCTCCCTTTCTCTGCTTTTTGATCGAACGACCAAGAGCTCCCTCATCTCGCTTCAATTTATAGAATGAACTCGTATATTGGCTTCTGATTCCCTCGTTTCCTCTCCCACCCTGTTAATTTGCCCGACCCCTCCCTCTTCTCCTCGATTTTTTGTTTCCCATCCCCCATGTAACAGAACTGTTACATGGATGACAAATGGATAGCTGGTATGATGAGGGGTTTAGAAAGAGGTGAACGTAGCAGCTGGAAGGTGGACAGAGGGTGGTGGCAACGGCAGCGACAACGGCAGCGATAGGGATCAAGAATTGCGATAGTAGTTGGGACCTTGGAAAGGTTTTACGACAACAGGTGGGCGGTAGAAGAGGGTGCGGCCAGCAAGAAAAGCGGTCAAGGGTATGTGGCTGCCAACAAGGCGGTAAGCAGAGAACAGTAGGGATTGATACGGGTGATTGGGGATAGATAGTCACCACCTCAAAGAAGGATACAGCTGGAGCACCACCTATCCTCAAATACGGCCTTAGAAAGAGAGAAACGCTGAAGAAGAGGAATTTAAAACAACAAATATTAAACCGTAACCCCAAAAATAAAACCAGCAAGGGGCGGGTGTCTCCCCATCCATAGGGCCAGCCTCCCTTCTAAACTGACATCATTTTTGCTAAACCTGCCCTAGCCCCCCGCATCATTGCCAATGAACTAATATGCTTAGATGGTGATGGAATTTACGAAGATCGGGGGTTATGAGGTATACAACAGAGCAAAAGAAATCAAAAGCTGTAATAAGGGTGAACTACAACATATCAAGTTCCAAGTGATTTCATTTCACATTAAGCAGTAAGTATTTCAAAACAAATATCCTCATCCATTTTGCTCACTCTTCCTCTTTCCGCAAATTAACTTTGTTTTCTACCTTTTTGGTTTGGAAATTCAAGCAAAACTAATCTTGCTTAATGTGCCAGGACTCGTATAAGCTATGATTGGAAAAGAAATGTTGCAGATTATTCCATTATGTACTTGTGTGATTGCAAAATTCAAAATCTGTTAAGCTTCAATTCCTATAAACCAAGATACTCGAGTTATATATCTCTGATAGGAACATAAGAAAACCACTTCATGCTTCCTATTTGAACGCAAACGTGAAGCCCACAACTCTCTTCCAAATTAAAAAGTCCGTGCTTCAAATCATGAGACATAAAATTATGTTTTACAATAAAAAACTACTGATAATGCTTCGGAGGCTTTTGTTCATAAGAAATGCAAATGATCTTTAGCAGACCACAGGCACTTCATAGCATGTACCCTTCAGCCAGTACATATGTATCAGAATCAATATACATAGCATGGTTTTAACAAACAAATATGAGATATTAAGTTAAAATAAAATTTGACATTACCTTTTCGGAAAATTGGTTGATTCAATGCATTTCGCTCAGCAAAGAAGGTTGCAAGTTGCACATTTTTAAGTTCCACCAAGCCAGTGTTCGCTACCCCATCCAGTAAAGCAGCTATAGATAAGACGTCAGTGTTCAGAATTGACAGATAGGAAGGACCAACAACAAGAATTCTAACAAAACTCTCACAAAGCAGAGAAGTTTTAAGAGGCTAATATTAGATTAATGAGAAAAACTCATCTATAGCCAAAAATTTAGGCAGTCGCATCAAGAAATTTTTGTTAAAACCACAGTATTGTACTTCAACTGCACATTATCAGATAACCAGGTGACAAGTACCAAGTAAATATTAAATGGTAATAAAATGGTTGAAGTCCTACTTCATCTTTGGCTTGGAATGCGCAAGTAACAACCAGAAAATTGAAATTACCAAGTGAGGTACACCAATACATATCTTAAAATATTTAAACAGATGAAACAGAGGCATTTAATTATCAAGTGACTGAGAAAAAATGTACCACCTAATGCATACTCTTCATCATCTGTAAATTTACCTCAACTGTATTCACAAAACCTCTGTTACCTTAAAACTTCTATTCCATCAAACCACTCATGCAATGTCGCATGTCAAAACAAGAACCAAAAGCAAGAACTACGAACTTATCAAGTGACTGAGGAAAAATGTACCATACTACTCCTAATCTGTAAATGGGCGACCACAACTGTATTCACAAAAACTCTGTTACCTTAAAAGTTTTATTCCATCAAACCACCCATGCACTGTCGCATGTCCAAACAAGAACCAAAATCAAGAAAAAAATAAAAAACTTAATCACAGAACCCTAAAAAAGAAACCGACTAGGAGACCCCACAGCCTAACACAGGTGCTAAGAAGAAGGTAATGGGGGCCATCAGATGTTCCTTGTCACCATCACTCATCATCAAATTAGATTAGGTGTTGATAGTTTACAATTACTCCAATGGTTTATTTTGTTTTCTTACAGTTTAACACTGTCATTGTCGGTCCCAAGCCCGGATATGAAAAGTGAAGGGTTGTATTAGGTATTCGACAACCAGCGTAAAAATTGTCGAAAAAATCATGACATGAATCCCTTTGATCATTGTGTAAGAGCTAGGGCGTCCCCTAGAAGCAACGCGTTGCATGGCCTGAATTCAGTGAAAAGTGTGCAAGGGCTGCGACACCGGCGCCCGGGTGTAGTGTCAAATAAGCAAGGATACCCACATGATAGAGGAATGTTGGTAAAGAAATTAATCCATGAAACTAATAAAACTAATATTAGAATTGGGTCTTAGAATATAGGTACTCTTAATGGTAAATGAATAGTATTAGTTTATATTATGATTCATAGAAAGAATAATATCTTATGCATTTAAGAAACAAAATGAGTTGGAAAAAAAGGCTAAGGAGATTGATAACTTAGGTTTTACACTTCGGTTTTCTGATAAAAGTTGCAATAGAAATGGTGTAGGTGTAATTATAGATAAGAGTTTGAAAGATAATGTTGTAAAAATTAATAGAGTTGAAGATAGAATTATAGCACTAAGATTATTATTGATACTAAGATTTTTGATATTATAAGTGCTTATGCTCCTCAATTAGGTTTAGATATAGAGTCTAAAGATAAATTCTGGAATGACTTAGAGGACTTAATACAAATGATACCACCTGAAGAAAGAATTTTTACAATAAGAGATTTAAATGGACATGTCGGTAGAGTGGTAAAAGATTTCAGAAATATTCATGGTGGCTATGATTTTGAAGTGACAAATGAAGAAAGTAGTCATTTTAGATTTCGCTTTAGCGTATGATTTTATTATTACTAGTACTTTATTCAAGAAAAGAGATGAGCATCTTATTACTTATAAGAACAAATCTAATAAAACACAAATTGATTGTTTTCTTATGAGAAGAAGAGATCGTCGAGATTATAAAGATTGTAAGGTCATTCCAAAAAAAGATTTAAGTACCCAACATCGACCATTAGTTCTAGATTTTAAGATGAAGAGTTGTAAAATAATGAATAGTATGACTCATCATTGTAGAATTAGATGGAGAAATCTAAAAGACATAAATAAAATTATTTTTATGAGTAAAATTCAAGAATTCAAAATTTGGGATGTTCATGAAGAAGTTCATGAAGAAACAAATGTTGAAGAAACAAATGTTATGTGGGAAAAAGTAACAAACAATATTAAACAAGTAGTAAAAGATGAATTAGGAGAATCAAAAGAAAAAATTTCTATAAATAAAAATAATTGTAGTGTAATAATAATGTGCAAGAAAAATTTAAAAAATTAGAAGTTATGTTATAAAACTTGGTTTAAATGTAAAAGCTTAGAGAACTGGGAAAAATATTACAAGACCCGCGGGCAGTCTAAAAAAACAATCTGTCACGCTAAAAATTAAGCTTTTAGTTATCTTTATAATATATTAGATACTAAGAATGGTGAAAACTATATGTATAAACTAGCCAAATAAAAAAGAAAAGAGAAGTAAAGATTTAACTCAAGTGTATTAAAGATGAAAATCAAAAAGTGTTTTTCTTAGAAAAAGATATTCTGTATAGGTGGGTGAGTTATTTTAATAAACTTTTTAACCAAGTTTTTGAAAATATGATCGGCCTTAGTGATCTTAATATCGTTAATAATAATAAAACGTTTCATTTTTACCATCACATTAGTGAAAAAAAAATTGAGGGGACTTTAAAGAAAACTAAAGGTGGAAAGTCTGTAAGACCTGATAATATCACAATTGAAGTGTAAAAATATTTAGAAGATTCGAGAGTTTTTTGGCTTATTAAACTCTTTAATATTATTTTAAAAACTAAAAAGATGCCTGAGGAGTGGTAGAAGAGTATTTTGGTCATCATTTTTAAGAATAAAGGGGATGTACAAGAGTGTGCAAACTACAGAGTTAAGTTGATGTGTCATACTTAAAAATTATGGGAGAGGGTAATTGAACATAGATTAAGACGCATTACTAAAATTTCTCATAATCAGTTTGGATTTATGCGGAGCAAGTCTACTATGGAAGCTATACATTTATTGAGAGGTTAGATGGAGAAGTTCAAAGATAATAAGGAGGAAAGATAATAAGGAGGATCTACGATCTACATTTGATTTTATTGATTTAGAAAAGCTTACGATAAGGTTCCAAGAGATATCATTTGTAGAGTTTTTGAGAAGAAGTCATTACAGATATGTATGCTAGATATGTTACTTGTCTTCGAATTGAAGGAAAATTGACCAAATATTTTCCTATTTCTATTGGATTACATCAGAGCTCGGCTTAAGCCCATATCTTTTTTGCTTTATTTATGGATAGTCTTGTTGGACATTTACAAGAGAATGTACCTTGGTGTATGCTTTTTACTGATGATATCCTTCTCGTAGAAAAGACAAGAGAAAAAGCCCAGGAAGAACTTGAATTATGGAAGTCTAAATTGGAGTCTAAAGTCCTTCATTTGAGTAGAACTAAAATTGAATACATGGAATGTAATTTTAGTAGTAGTAGCTCTAGTGACAAAAGTGTAACTTTCGGCGATAAAATTATTAAAAGGTGTGAATGATTCATATATCTCGGGTTTGTTGTTCAAAGCGATGGTAATATAGATGAGGATGTTAATTGTAGAATTCAAGTTGGTTGGTTAAAGTGAAGAAATGCTTCGGGTATTTTGTGTGATAGAAAAGTACCGCTTAGACTAAAAGGAAAATTTTATAAGATGGCGGCGAAACCTGCAATACTCTATGGCGTTGAATGTTGTCCTTTAAAAGACAAGCATAATACTACTTAAGTGTTGTCGAGATGAGAATGATTAAGTGGACGAGTGGCTTTACACTTAGAGAAAATGGGAAATGAATATATCCGTGATAGGGTTGGTGTAGCTCTAGTGACAGACAAAATTAGAGATAATCTTCTTAGATGGTTTGGTCACATTAAACGTCGATCATCTGATGATTTGATTAGGAGAGTAGATGTTTTAGATTCTACTTATGTTAAGAAAGGCAGAGGTGGACCTAAGAACACTTGGGCTTATTGTATAAAAAATGATCTTAAATTATTAGAACTAAATGAAAATAGGACACTAATAGGACGCAATAGAGAAAAAAGATTCATGTAGCCAACCCCACATAATGGGATTAAGGTTTTTTTGTTGTTGTTGTACAGTTTAATTAGAGAAAGAGCAATTAAGTAGTCACACCAATTTATTCAAATAAATTGTGTTTCTACAACCAAAAAAGGTTAGTTGTTAACCTCCATATACGATTCATGAGATGAAGAGATACCAAGAAAGGACATTGAGTGCAATGGCATGTAGTATGATGTCAAGACATTTTAATTGCTATAAAAATCAATTGAATGTATTATGTTCAAAACTGATGTCAAGACACTTGCCTTATAAATCTGTGAAAGAATTTGAATTTAGAAATTGTTGAGAGAATTGAGGTATACTTCCAATAGGACCATAAAAATATTTTATGACAATTAAGCAGCTATAAGTATTGTTAAGAACATTATGTGCATCATAACAGGACCAATCATATTGAAATTAATAGGCATTTTATCGATGAAAAAGTTAATGTTGGAATTATACAACTAAGTTACATCCCGACACCAAGTTGTTGATGTTTTCATCAAAGCTCTTTGTTTAAGCAACATCTCTAAGTTTAATACCAAGCTTTGACTTAACAACATCTACGACCTAGATTGAAGGGGAGTGTAGAAATCTAAAAGGATCGGTCTCCTTTCCATGGGGGGCCCAGCCCGCCATCCAAGGAGTGTGGACAGATTAATTGGAGATAATTTGGAAAACTCCTTAATTAATTTTTAGTTTCTTCCTATTTAATTTTATATCATATTATTTCCTTCCCATGCTTAGGTTAGATACATTTAGTAAGATTGCAATTAAGAGAGAGATGTTTCCCAGGATATGTAGACTTATGTTTGAAGATTGGTAATGAGAATTGAGTATACCCTCTCACATTTTTTTCTTCAGTTGTCGACAATGGTCCTTCAATTATGTTGGGTCGAATGACTCATTTGACTCAACAGACTAGTGTCGGCGCTTAAAAGGGGAAAAGAGTTTAATGTT